TTCCAGCAGCTGAATGTTTTAATGCCATAAAACTTCAAGTTCTGGTAATAAATTCCCTTAAAAGACAAAATGTAACATCAGTTTAACATCTGGTTTGGAAAGATTGATCAGTTTTCGGCTCTTTGGATGCAATTTAAAAAAAGATTTAAAAATCCTAAAAATGAGCAGGAAGCTGAGAAGGTCGACGCTGAGCGTGCGGACGACCGACTTCCTGCCCGGACCACGTCTTGTTGTGGAGATAAATCATCGTCTGCAGACGAGAGGATTTTAATCCTGGCAGTTTGAAGCTTGAGACCAAATCTTTCAGTTTAAACCCAAACCTGTTTGTCTGGATTGTGGCAGATCAGACAGTGTTTTTATTTATTTAAATCCTGTAAAATGTTTTGGTCCCTCCGTGTTCGACTTTAATCTGAACACACAAACAGGAAGTTTTAGTTTTTATCACCAATCTGAAGCAAAATGTTTGATTGTACGAATAAATAAAAGGCAGGCGATTTATAACGATTTTACCGTTGGATTCACTGAACCTGTAGCTCTAATTTTTTATTTTAATAAAAGGATGGCGGTTGTTGATGACACAAGCTGCAGCTTTTACTGTGAAAACCAACAGGAAGTTGGTTCTCCCAGACACCAACTTCTGGAGCTGATTGTATCCTGATTGGTCCGCGACTGAAGCCAAGATGGCGGTCAGGCCGGTTTTCTTTCTTTAAATCTTGCATGCTGACTGTTTTGCTCTCTGAAGCTTCTCAACAGATTAGGATTATTAGATTTAATCTGAGCAGCTGCATCAGCCCAGCATTTAAAAACTTTCATCATCCATGAGACTAAATTTATTTAAACGTTTGGTGACCAACAGGTCGGACGTTAAACTGTGACGTTTCAGGAGCTCCTTTTAGCTGATTTTAGCTGATTTCAGCTGATTTTAGCTGATTTTAGCTGATTTCAGCTGTTTTCAGCTGATTTCAGCTGATTTCAGCTGATTTTAGCTGTTTGAAAGGTTCAGATGTTTGGTCAGAACAGAGTGGCAGTGTTTGAGTGGTTCTGCTCAGACATCCAGTGATCTGTGGTCTGACCGGATGAAACCAGACCAGAACCACGGAGCACCTCATCGTTTCAGCTCACGGTCAAACTCCAGATCTTCACTTTGGATCTGCTCTGAACTCTGGAAGTTCTGTGAAACTGGGTCAGACGCCTCAGTGACCAGTCAGTCAGCAGACTCTGGATGTGTTTGGACTCGGAGCCGAGGCGGTTAACGAGTTGGCTAATTAAATCTGTCTGCAGATCCCCGAGCGGCGCCGTTTGGTGTTTCAGAATCTGGACTCTTTTGGGTCGTTTATGAAGCTCTGCAGCTGTGTGTCATCAAACGGGACGACTTTATGGACACAAGTGTTTATTGAATCCTCGTTTCTGTCTGAGCTCCTCTGAAGGTCCAGAAATACTAGAGCTTTTACGTCCGGAGGAGTTCAGCTGCACGACGTGGAGTCCAGCCAGAGGTTCCTGATCCTCAGCCCCAAAACCTGAATCACGGGTTTTACTGGATGGAATGGTTCTACAACTTCACGAGTTTAAAGACTTGTTTGACTTGAACACTTCTCTGTGAGCACTTGGAGAAACGTTGACCTGCTGAACGACTGCTGAAGGACTGCTGAAAGACTGCTGAACAACTG